TCTTGTGTTCTGCTTGTGATGTCCTCGGTTCAATCCCCAGTTGCTTTAATGGATTTGCACTCCTGTTGAGATCTAACCAGTTCAAAACAGCTGTCCAGTGCTCCCAAGCTTTTCGCTTCGTGCTTCAACTGGACGAATCCACTTTTTAGATTGAATCAAATCCCCATTACACCCATTAAACATGAAAGGTATATATTTTATCATTGTGAAATGCTAATTGCATTCTATCATAGGTTATTCATTTCTGAACACATCAAACCTTTAGTTTTGGCAATGTGTACAAATTCTCAGGCAAATTTTATCCAATGAATTGGGAACAGATACACTGGGGGTTTTATTTGGCTGCGTTTGAGCTTCTGTGTACGCCTGAACCTCACTCCAAAATATCGTTAGTCTCTCAATACGGGTAACGCCCACTTTGAATACATTTCACTCCACCCACCTGCTTTTGCCGTGTCTATATAAAAAAACCTCATCAGCTCATTTTGAAAGTGCTTCCTACGCACTTACAACCAATACAACCATGAAGATGTAATAGGAACGGGTCAGACAGGCTAAGTATAGGTCAACACGATCCACCTAGTTTGAACACATTAAGATATGTTATATTGCCCTTTCGAAAGTCCATCGTGGGAACGTTTCAGTTCCGTTTCCCCATAAAACGTCATGAACCGTCTCAACTTCTGGGCATGCTACCCTGTATTTGGGATTTATCTATATTCAACTAGCTTCGTTTGTATCAGAGTAAAGTGATTGCGTAGGTAGGAAGAGTGAGAGTAAGGAAGGGTATCACTCGGGATTTGTGATCCGTTTTGTTTTTATCAGTGTCCACAAAAAGTGAGAAATGGCTGACTGCAACCACATTCATTCAGTGAATATTGCTACCGTTAGTAATGAATGTATTTTAAATACCTCTGTGGTAGCTCACCTCAGCCTACTGAATCAGTGAACGGAAAACGAACCTAAGACATGTGATGTCCAATTTTACTGTCACTAAATAGCCAGTTTTAAAGAACTATGGACTTTGTATAGGAATAAATCTTCCAATTAAGTTACACTTTCTCCAGTGATGCTGAGAATATCCACAAGCTATCTGGCACCAAATGTTTTCTCATTTAATTCAATTGTGAAAAACTAACCGGGAAGCTATCTGTAGCGACCCTGTAGCTCAAGTGAAGCACACGCTATTCAGAGACAGAGGTGGCGTATGTGGGTCGGTTCGAATTCTACCGACGCTTGGGATTATTTTAACAACAATGGGATGTGATAAAATTGTTCGAATCTGCCCAGTTGAACAAATGTTCTCACAAATCTTAATTCAATGTCTTTCAGAATGTAAACCGGTTAATATCTGGATTGATCTTGATATCATTCGTGTACTCAGGAAGGAGAAAAAGTACTGTTAAATGGTTTCATTAGTGAAACAGTACATTATTATCCAGATTTGCTTTTTTAGAGTAAAAGCAGTTAAATTGAGCCATTCGAGTGCTATCATTGCCTGGATCTAACTAACCATTTGCGGGGTCTGTGACGTGATTGCCTGACTGGCTGATATTTGTTCACATGTCCTCATGGAATTAGATCTTCGAACTTTTCTGCAAAATGTGATAGGCTTACCCAGAAGACATTCCACTATTTGTTTTCAAAATGTAGCACTTCCTTCATTGTTTTATACTTGTAAATATTACCAACAACTCTACAATTGATAGGACATCCCACTAGAATAATTTCACCAATCCCCTTCCAATCAGCCGTTCATTCCATGAATGAGTGCTTGGACTATGAGAAGCTTTTAAACAGATCCTTTTCAAACCATTAAAGTTTCCTCTGTCCCTAAGTAAAAGTTCGCTACCTATAGCGGGTTATAATTCGTTTTTAACATTTCAATCACCGACACACTGACAGAAAAATCACTGTATTTCGAATGCCTCTCCAGCATGATGACCTCGAATGAATCTGTCATTGTAAAATAATTTCTCAAATTCGGAAAACAGTTTTACCCTTTACAATCGGTTGACATTGATTCCGATTTCCACATCCATTCGTTCTTGTGATTTCGTCGTTTTATTTACTAATCCTCAGTGTTATCATCCCGTATATGTTGCCCAGGGAATCTGTTTTGATCAAACCCTCTTTGCGACACATTTCCATGTATGAAAGCGTTTCGTTCGCCACACTTACCAATTGTCTCTCCCTGAGCAATGAACATCTTACCGTTTACGCTTTTCTGTGCTACTCAATTTTGACTGACATTCCTTGTTGCCTGCGCTGCATACCGTCCATTCTCCCGTTCCCTATCCACATCGATCAATCGCAATCAATTTAAATCTCTATGTATCCAAACTGTGTCTTCTCACTGTTTCCATATCCTCTAATTCGATCGACCAGTGGTCCGCAAGAAATGAGCATTCGGCTAACTGATACAAACCTCATGCAGTGTAGTTGAAAATGTTTATCTCCTTCATGCTTTTTTCATTGGTACGTTACACATTGGTGTATCATTGTGTGACATTTTCTGCGTGCAACTAAACCAAGACTAGCGAGGTAACTTCGCCCCCTCTCCAATGAACGAATAGAGTGAACGCTTGACCTAGCTTGCAATCGCACAGTAGGGCACCGCCCGGAACTTTGCAATCATTTGAACCATGGACGTCGACAGTTTTCAAGAATGCCATTCTTGGATAACAAGTTATTTGCTAACTTTAAATCAACTTGAAATTACTCTCAGATCCCTAATTTTGTCACCATTCATTTCACTCATCTTTCTGCACAACGTATACCGAAAAAGAAATTATCAGCACTCAGATCTGTGTAGGATAGAAACCACTAAGATGGTCTCGGTTTAACACGGTTATGGAAATCATGCCATTACCCCCAAAAGAACATAGTTGAAATAAGTTCGGAACGTGATTCCACATTATTCCTACATGGTTTAAGCAAACCGTCATGAATAAAAGCTGGTTACTTAGCCTACGGCTTCTAGAAGGAGGGATTACTTTAAAATCACCGCTCTTCAGACTATAAGTAGTGAGAAAGCGTCAAAAAACATCCAAATAGCATTGAATGCAAAAATACAGTAATCCGTTTCTTATTCGGACTCACCTGGGCAATGATTCGATTGATTCCCGGAGGCATGAATAGCGCTACAATTGCATTTGCCTGTTCAGGACCGTTTCCCAATTCTCTTGCTCCCACAGCACTGGAACTTCGAATATCCGTGGAAAGGGTCACGGCCACTTGATTTGCAATGGAATTCAGTTCGGAAAAACTGACGGAACTAATTGTCTCCGAAAAACCACTGACCAACGAATTTTGACTGTACTCTCCAGAGGCGGACTGATACAAATGTAAAGGATCAGGCACGTGCCAAATTGCCGGACTATCAATAAACTCCTGAGTGCCAATTGCCAGCAAATTCTCGAATACTGTATATAAAGGATAAGATTTTTGATCGTTCATTTGGCCTGAGTTGTTCTGAAAAGGAAATAAAGCGGTATCACGTGAGACAGAACATAATTTACTCTCCCCCCCGCTATCGTTCTCGAAGAAGTTTAGTGATCAGCTGTGAATGGTTTTATTAATTGTAACTGATGAATGATTAGGTGTTTGGTATGGGAACTACGGATCAACTTGAAATCTGTGGTAAGCGGCTCAAGTTCGTCCGAAAGATGAAGGTATACAACCTAGTTTGTATGTTGGCTAACTTTTTTAGGAAACTGATCTGTCAGCAATAATAGTTGGTGCAATTTTGATGAATAATAACGTTGTGCTCAGTCGTTTGGTTCAACATCATGGAACAAAAATCTAAGTGTACACTTTTTTCGCTTATATGTGATTGACTGATTGATTGGCTGATGATCACATGATCCGCTGGTGCTTAGGTAGCTTCCACTGGGCTACGTCCTAGTTAACCTTGACATATTTCTTATGACTCCGAAAGTTCAGCTTTCAAGATCGTTGCGCTTGGACTCATACGGTCCAAACCAAAACAAACAGCACGAGTGAAACAGAAAGCGTTTACTGCCCTAATGACTGCTGACTGCCCCAAAGTGATGACAACACTTTACAATCAAACTGGACATATGGGATTTCAAGGAAATTGAAGGNTGGGGGGGGGGGGGCAGAGCGATACAATTATTGCAAACATCATTCCTTAATGGAGTGATAACTCATGCGCGCGCACACACGCATGATACTGCTTCTGAGAGAAATGAAGAAAACTTGGCAAATTCTGCTAAATGAAATCACTATCCCTAGTTAAGAATGGTCATTATCCAATCAGATGGAGGACAAGTTAAAAGAAACAAAAAGCAGACTCAAGTGTTACGAACGAGGATGATCAACACAAATTATGAATGCCTCACACATGCATATGCCTTCGTTAAGCCAGTTACCTTGTGCAATAGGTCGCCGGGTTTGTTGTTCAACGCCATTATGTGCATGACAAACACATATCACACTTGGGAAAAATGAGCGAAAGGCCTGCGTTTGCGCTGTTGATGTTGTTGTTTGTTCGAAACCTCAACAGCGCAAACGCAGGCCTTTCGCTCATTTTTCCCA